AATGCCAACCTCCTCCTTGGGGGGGAAGGGAAAGAGGGAGTGGGGGGAGGATTCCTCCAAGATGAATCCCCTGAGAGTGAGGTTGTTGGGGGGTTTTTTTGGGGGGGGAGCTGGTGAAAACTTTAAAGGTGGGACAATTAATTTCTTTGTATTCCATTCATTTCCAAAAGGAACAGTGAACTATTTGACTGCTGGGTGGGTGGAGTTCCTTTATGAGGCAAATGGCAGGTTAATGGGCCAGGATGGCCAATCCTTCCTTTTGTGAATGGCCGGTGATGATTTTCCTGGCCCTGGGGAATGAGTCTCAGGATCCTGCAGAATTTGGGGGAGGTGAGGGGCAGGGGAAGGGAAGGGGAAGGGAAGGAAGGAGCTGATGATGGACAGAAGGAAGGAAGCCAAAGGAAACTGCAAGAGTGGGAGTTGGGGACCAAGGAGTTGTCAAAGGGTGCCTTTGTTCATTTATTAGCTGCAATCAGTGAGCAAGGGGAGGACTGGCGGAGTGGCCATCCCAAGCCAGAGACACCAGAGAGTGAGCCGCCCTCTTAAGAACCAGCATTGGTTGGCACTGACCTGTTGGGCTCCTGGAGAGATCAGCCAAGTTTTATACGGGTTTGCATCCTGTTGAACGCGGGCATATTTCTGAGTCAGCGGAGGTGGGATCCCCTGTTGTGAATCAGAACAAGCAAAGGTGCTGTGTTGGCCACAAGGAAGAAAAAAAAAACAATTCAGTCCATATCAAAATCATAGGTTCTCACAAGGTCACAAAATAAGTGTACAGCTTTTGGAATTAAGCAGGATTCCTCAGGCAAGACAGTAAACAGCAAAAAAAAAGGGGGGGAAGGAAATATGTGGCCGGTGCTTGGCGTTTAGTGGGGATTTGAAGAGGGGGTGTGGAAGGGTCCTGAAGCCATTGTGGCTCTCCAGATGTCCCTGGACGCCAACTCCCATCATTCCTCACCCTCAAGGACCGACTGCAGCTGCAGCTCAGGGACACCTGGAGGACTGCAGATTTCCTGCCCCTGTTGCCCCAGTATCATTTTTCCATTACAAGAGGCCAGTTGCAGGAGAAGCGGAAATTAAGTTGCATAATTACAGTTAGGAAAATGAACTCGAAACGGTATGACTTGTTTGCACAATAAAGATCTGTTTGTGGATGAAGCCCTTTGCCTGTATGGACCTCTGTTGCTCTGGGTTTCTATCTGCAACCTTCCAGAGCCCTTGGTCCCTTTGTCAGTGTGTGGAATGGAGATTTACTCGTAGGTTGCAGGAAGGCATGGCCCTGCCCGCCACATGGCAGAGACCCACCCTCAAAATCACTTCAGGGCTGGTGGTTTGGAAGCAGCAGCAAAGGAATTTCAAGGCCTGTGGGTGGCCACAGATCTTTTTGTATCTCTGGCAGGGAGGAAGGAACAAGGCAAAGAGGCTGAGCAGGAGAGGCTCAGACTTCCAGACATCAGAAGGATCCCCTCAGGGTAATCCTCATGGCCCTGTATTCTAAAGCCACTTTTGCCAAAAGGCCGGGGTTTCATCAGCATTCCATCTGGGCTGAGGGTTTCTCCTGGAAAACAAATACATTTTTCTCACTTTCCTGCCCTTCCCCAGAGCCTCCCTTGAAGGCTTATTTTGTGATCTTTGCAGCCAGAAACCTGCCAAAGCCCACGTATCAGTAAAAGGAGACAGATTTAGAGCAGAAGTCAGTTTCCTGAATGACATGGTCAGCTGCTCCCCAGAAATAGGACTGGCCAGTAGTCCCCACCCCAAGCAAAAGAGGTCAGACTTCGGGGCTGCCTCTGCTCCTGTGATGCCCTGATTTATGGCACCGTGCGCGCCCCCATTGCTGCCCTAGACCGTCTGGTGATCCCCCTGTGAATCTCTGCCCCCTTGGCCCAGGTAACCTTCCGGAGCCTGAAAAGAGGTGCTCAGACAGCTGCACCCACTGGGGTGCCTCCTGCAGCTTTCCTGGTACGACACGGCAAAACCACTCCCCCGGTTGCCTTCCTGAGAGGGCCCTGCAAGTGGCCGGCTGGCCAAGACGGGAAGGTCCTGTCCATGCACTGCAGTTGTGGCCCAAGGGAAGAACCAGGGGATGAAGAGTGTTTCCATTTCCCCATGGAAGGGAAGCTGCAGCTTTGGAAGCAAAGTGGCAACCAGTCCCTTAAAACAAGCTACAGACCAAGCGCCCCGGGAATGTCGCAGCGCCGCGAGGCCCCAAAACTGGATGGCCCCGTCCCACTGTAACGCTTACACAGCGCACACTCCTTTCCGGTCTCTCTGCGTGGCCCCCCTTTCAACAGAAAGAGAAGAACTCTGGCTTTCCGGAGAAGGGGCAGCTCTGCCAAAACCCCTTGGAAACCCACGTGTGGAAATTTGTCACTGACCAGATCTCATGCGTTGCCTCTTCCTTTGCTCACCACTGAGATTGTCACGGGAAAGCGAAACGTTCAGAGGCAGGTTTCTGAGCCTGCCGAGTCATCCTTCTTCTGCCTGACTCACTCTTTTGTTCTTCCCCAGCCTTCATCCTCTGATTCATTTTGGTTCCAGTTTCCCCCTACACCCCCCCCTCTCCCCATCAGTTGCAGGTTTAGAGACCAGGCTGTTCTGCCTCTTTTCTGCAAATGGCTCCCCATCATTTTTGGCACAGTGAGGCAAGGACCGGCAGATGTATGTCAAGCAGGCTTGTGGGCTTCTTTGGTTTCGATGTAGTTATGGTTTTTGTTGAAATGTCATTGGAGCCATTCCCCCAACGGGCGTATCTTGGCAACGTTACCTCTTGAGTGGCTCTGCCAGGCTTCAGGACAGAAACCTTCCCACCTCGTGCAGCCAGGAAGCCTGCCACATGGTGAAGTATGTGCACTGCTGCCTGCGCCTCTCCTAGGTAGGAAGGAGGCAACGTGTGGCCCTCTGGGTGTGTGTGTGTGTGTGTGTGTGTG